TTAATTAAAAATACTATATTTAATAAAATTTTACTTATATCTAAGAGCACATATTAAAAAAATTTATTTATTAAATATATAATTAAAATCATTAACATTATATTGATTTAGAAAATAACTAATTGTTAAAAATTACATAAATATATTATTCATTTTATTTTATTTTATCTAAATAAATAAAATTTTGTGTAATAGTAATAATAGTGGTGTTAGTGATCCAATGGTGAAAACTTCAAAATGAGTGTTGAAGAAGTGATGTTTGAATCCCCTTTAGTGCACAAACTTATTGAAAGTTTTCAAAATTTGTGAACTGAATGGTTCACTGGTTTAGAAGTCAACAAATTTGACTAAATTTTTCGAGTTTTGATCGGGTTTAAGTAACTTTGACTGCATTTTATTACAAACCAAGTTTATGTCATAATTTGAATCAATTGGTAACCAGTTTCGGTTCAACCGATCAAATCAACCGATTTGATCCGAAGTTTAAATGATCACGTCATTCTTAAGCCCCTAGACTTTCCCCAAATTAGAATTTAAGCCTTTGAACTAAAAATGATGCAATTAAGCCCTTCAACTTAGATCTGTAGAAAATGTGCCGACACCTATATTATTGTGTTGACACACTAAGTAGTTTTCAGTTTAAAAAATTTGTATTTTTAATTTAATCTTATTTTTTTGATACTTTCCTTTGCCCCAATTAATTTAAAATTGACTCGAGTTAGATCTTATAAGAAAACTACTTCAGTACATATCTTTTTATTTATAAGATTCAAACTTAAAATCTTACTAAAGAAAAATTAAGTTTTTTTTATTCGAATTCAAAAGTTGTTGAGAATTCTTTCCTACTTTTTTATTAGATTTTTTTTAAATAAATCAAAATGTGAAGTTTAAATGCAAAATAATTACATATTTCATTTTCATTAATAAAAGTTGAAAATATCATATCCATTGTTCATGAGTCATACATTATAAAAGAACAATATAGGTTGTATTTTCAATTTTTATTAATGTAAATGAGATATGTAATTATTTTATAATTAAACTCTAAATTCTAATTTATTAAAAAAAAACTCTAGTAAAAAAGTAGGACGAAATTCCCAACAACTTTTGAATTATTTTTTAAAAAAACTTAATTTTTCTTAATAAAATTTCAAATTTAAGTCTTATAAATAAAAAGATATATATTGAAAGAGTTTTTTCTATATGAAACCTGACTCGAATCAATTCCAAATTAATTGGGGTAAAGGGAAGTACCAAAAAAATAGAATTAAATTAAAAATACAAGTTTTCTAAACTGAAAGCTAATTAGAGTGTCAACAAAATAATATAGGTGTTGGCACTTTTGCTACGGATCTAAGTTGAAGGGCTTATTTGCACCAGTTGAGGAGTTGAAAGGCTTAATTGCATCATTTTTAATTCGAGGGCTTAAATGCTAATTTGGGGTAAGTCTAGGGGTTTAATAAATCATTTTTGCCTAAATATTAAGGACCCTCATCATAGCTTTCCCACGCACCCACGCATCCACGCACCCACACACACGGTAACCGCAAATTTCTCCTCCTCCACCATGGTCATGGACGTTAAACAACCCAAAACCAGTTTGAGCAGAGCACTCCTGATCCTAAACTGCATCATCCTCGCCATTGGCAACTGCGGCGGCCCACTTCTTATGCGCCTCTATTTCCTCCACGGCGGCAACCGTATCTGGTTCTCTAGCTGGCTCGAAACAGGCGGCTGGCCCATCATTCTCGTCCCACTCATCGTCGCCTACTTCCGCCGTCTCAAAACGGACCCCACATCCAGCAGAAAGCTTTTTCTCATGAAACCTCGCCTATTTGTGGCATCCGCTGTAATAGGAGTCTTCACAGGTAGGAATTAAGGTTTGATTAAGTTACAAAAGTAGTCTTTAAATAGAATTATTTAAGAAAAATTCTGGATCTATCCCAACTTGCAGGCTTAGACGATTATCTCTACGCATATGGAGTGGCACGTCTTCCCGTCTCTACCTCTTCTCTAATCATTGCATCCCAGCTGGCTTTCACCGCCGGTTTTGCTTTTCTCTTGGTGAAGCAGAAGTTCACTGCATATTCGATAAACTCAGTGTTTCTTTTGACATTAGGGGCAGGGGTTTTGGCTCTGCATACAAGTGGGGATCGACCAAGTGGTGAATCGAACAAAGAGTATGTTCTAGGTTTCATTATGACGCTGGGAGCTGCTCTGTTATATGGATTTATTCTTCCATTGATAGAATTGATGTACAAGAAAGCAAAGCAAGAGATCAATTACACTCTTGTTTTGGAGATTCAGATAGTGATGAGCGTTTTTGCCACGGCCTTTTGCACCGTCGGTATGATAATTAACAATGATTTCAAGGTCGGTATCCCTCGCCTCCCTCTTTGACTCAATTATATTCCATAGTCTTTCTTGTTTCTTTATTTGGCAAAGAGTATATATACCAATAGCAAAGACAGTTTCTTCTTCGTTCTTCTTTCTCTCTTTTT